GGGACATAGTCATCTAACTGACATTCCTCTGCAGAGCTCAACAAGCAAAACTGACATAAAGCAACAGATCTGCCCACAAGTCTTCTCCTTCACCAGTTTTCAGGTTGATATCCTTTAGAGTGTTCAGGGAGACATCTGGAGGTCTCAACCTCATGTGAAATATCTAGTTTGACACTCCAGTCCTGAAAAATAAATCTGAAGTTACCTTAATTCCTTGGAGAGTATCACTAAAGGTAACAGGACTCTGTAAACACAAAATAGAAATCCTCTCTGAAAGATTGGTGGCCCGCATGGGATGGGAAAATAACCTGCCTTGAAGGAACCTACGTCTGTAGGAATCCCAAATCTCCCAGGAGAGATCTGCTTAGATACCACTAGCAATATTTTCTATACCTTTTAATGCATACCCTCTGCCTTTTAACTTGCTTCCACTGAACAAAGTCATGCCTGTTGCAAGGGACCAACCATCAGAGAGTGACACACCCTGCATAACATGACAGCCAGGGAAAAAAACTGTGTCCGTAAACATACTGAACATATGAACCTAGGAGAGAGGAATATTATGAATCATGATAAATAGTCAGATCACGCTATGTACTTTCTATAAATATTTATCTTAGCAACAATTGGCTAATGGTGAAGCAGCTATTAGCATGCAAAGTAGAGCTCTCATACTATGAAGTATAGGTTTCTATTGTGTACATTGTAGGAGCTATTTGGCACAGTGGAAAGCGAGGCTGTGTGTTTAACGAACATCCTCATAATAAGCTCAGTTTAAAGGCTTATTTAAGGCTTCAGCCTTTCATTCCAGACCCCTCCAGCTGTCACAATTGTCACGTTAGCAGCAGGCTAATGTTTATTCTGTTCTGGGTGATAAATCAGGCCCTAAAAGAGAATTCTTGCATTTGCTATTCATTATCTTTTATCCAGAGAGTAGGAATTAGATAAGGAATCATCTTCTAATGTTTGGGGTTTTTTATTAGCAACTCAGATTTAACACAGTGAAAAACTACCTATAAAAAGGATGTTAAAGGTGTTCCCCCAAACTGTATGTTCCAAGGAATGTGATCTCACGTTGCTTAAGGCCTCTGGGATAAACAAAATATTGCATCTTAGTTTCTAAAATTGACTGTTCTTTCTCTCACACACACTAGAATATAAATTAGGTCCCAGTTCAACATCCTACACGTGCATACACCTAGTGCTGGCTTTTGCAGTAGAAAGATAATACATATATTTCTTTATGCCAAACCTTGTAGGTTAAAAGAACTAGAAGTTTGTTAAAATATGTTTGCATTTGCAGATTTTCCTCATCCAAAGGTCTCTCTCATGCAAAAAGATTCAAGGACATGTAGATTTGCAAATCAACGAATTGTACTTTCAGTATATAATTAGGCAGTGGAAATTGAGGTCACTGAGCAACATAAGAAACAGTCAGTATCCAGTTCTGAAATAAGATGATAGCTCGGTTTCTTTTCTCTCATCATCTAACAACAGTTTTACAGAGCACAACTGAATCCACTTCTATGCTGATCCACTTACTATTCTAGTTTTAATACTTGAGGGTTTACTGCTTTAGTCACAGCTTCTGTTCAATGCAGATTTAAATACATCAAAAAATAAAACAAAATGTGAAACACTCCACCAGCATGTGCCCCAGTTGGGTGGTCTTCAAGAGGCAAAGCTACAAGACCTTTAGCTTCCTCAAAGTTCCCCCTCACCTTGTTACACACCCAGCTGACCCACCCTGCCTCTGGGGACAGACCTATTGGAACGGTGGCTTGGAGCTGAGAACCAGAGCTCCACTCAGCCCATGCTTCTCTCATACTTTGAAAACAGATGCCAAGACAACAGAGGGAGGTGAAAAAGACCAGGTCCACATCTGTTCTGTTCTGCTGGCTCAGGACTACTGTCCCTTCCCTGGCAGCTGAAGGCTCACCTCCCTCCCTCGTGAACCACTCCTGGGGGCTCTCCCTCTACTCCTGGATCCCGAACAGCATGAGGAATCTCAGCAGGAATCACCTGTGCATGGCTTCCATTTGGGAAAATCTTCTCTGAATTCACAGAAACAATCATGGATTAGAACAACTTGTTAAAGAAATGAACCATGAAGTCAGCAGAACTCAAACAAAGGGAAGGTTAATCCTCACTGCAGAGTGATACATCATTTGAAAAATGAAGCCTAAGATTAGGTGTACCTGACTTTAGAAGTAACGCTTTTTTAAAAAATACCAAGCAAAGTTTTCAGATAAATACAGTAAGTTCAAAAGTAGGTGTAAAACAAGGAGAAAGCTGTCACCACTCTTCCTTCAGACTCAAACACTGGCACACTGGTTGATTTTACTCAGAAAGGCACTGAACGTTGTTATTAGTGGTTTCAGTCATGTCTGAAACATGACAAGATACTATTTCAGCCGCTGGCAGCATGCAGACATTAGTAGCTACCTTTTGATTTTATTTTAACTAAACCTGCTGTTCTGTGTTTCAAGAGACACTTCTGGTTTAAGATGGAAGCCAGGTTAGTTGCTGTGCTCTCCAGTGCACTTGCCCCTCTGTATGTAAGAAAGGGATGTCATTAGCCTTCTTAACATGGCATTAGACACCCATTGATACCAGAGACAACCTACCAAAAACAGGTTATAAGAAGTTATTTTGCATACCTTCATAACCTGCCGCTTGTTTGTCAGCCAAGAAGGATAAAAACGGTTTTGCTGAACCAGCTTTATCACAACAGTGTGCGAATATACCAAAGGTAATACACGTGTCCTTACTGTCGGCTACAGAGAGCTCACAGCTTGTTAACAGCTAAACAATTTTTATAATCCTTAAAATCACTGTGGATTACAAATGCTTTTCTTTTTATAAAGCCGCAAGTGACCTACAGAACACCAGCCACTCGAATTTTCTAAAAATATCTCCAATGCAAGCCGGGCAGCAGAGATTATATTACAGGGCTTCTTTCAAGGTCACTTGCAAGATCTATGCTTGCAATGGCTTTAGTATCTGTGTTTCAGTTTTGTCCCTGGCAGCACTGGGAGTATGCTTTGTAAAAAATTCATCAGCATCCATGCATGCCCATCAGCTCCAAGCAGTAATAAATTACATTTTCAGAAAAGGTATTCTATTCTTTTTCTCAGCTCGGGTCAGCATCCTGAAAGGAAGGGAAACAGTTTGTGCAACAGAACTGACTGCTTTGTTCATGGAGAGCTTTGTAAAATACAACCCATTCCAGCTCTCCTCTCAGGCTTCCTATCTAAATACCATTTTATGAAAAAGACTGAAAAAATAGTATACACTAAATGCAGTCTCTTCTCTGATGGGGGATGAGGAAAACCAATAAATACACTTTCTTGAAGGAGACCCAGGAACACAGCAACAAAATAACAAACTTTCCTAAGAAAAAAGTGTGTGCGCCAGGGGTGTGATAGAGAAATTTTGAGGGGGAAAAAGAATTCTTTAGGAGAGCAAATCAGGTACTTAGAAATTACCTTTACTAATTTTACATAATACAATTAAGCACAGCACTTACTAAAGGCTTCAGCTACAATGAAGATTTATTTTACTCATCTGTTGAAGAAATCTGATGGAGATTTACTGCTGCAGACTTGAATCAAATTTCTTCTCTTTGAGGCTTGTCCAGTCACTATGATCTGCATTCCTCTTTAGAGCAGATAATGTTAGCTGTAACTAGTTATATTTAAGTGTCTCTATCTTGTGAAGAAAAAGGTTTGGGTGCAAAAAAATCCAACTAAAACAGAGATTTGCCTTCTTAGTTCTTTATATCATTGCAGCATATGACCACCAACATCTCTTCCTACTGTAAAAGTAACTATACCCTTACTGACATCCCCACATTTTCTAAAATGCAATTAATGTATCTTAATCCTATAGCTAACAGCATCCGCCTAGACTTAAATCTCATTTTAAACTTGATATACCCAAATCTGAAGGGGACATGAAAAGTGGCTTACAAAACCCATACCTCCCTCCTCCATGAAGATGGTGAGTATTCAGAATAAAGTTATTCCAAAGGGACAAAACCATATGTCTAATCCATCCCCTTCACCTCTGTATGAAACAGATTGCTGTATTTTCATTGAACAGCCAAGAGCACGTGACGATGATACTACTACAGATACAAGTACAAGACTTATGTTCAAGACATCCAATGATGCAAGGGTAAACCATACTGCTGAAACTAGCAGTAAATAATTTCTAATTACTAATAACATTTGCAATACTGCTGATAGCAGGGCCATGGAACTTGGAATAATTATGGACAATTCAATCAACAGCATGCCAGACAGCATGCACATATATTTTCCCCAAATTTAAAGAAAGAAGACATTTTTTGAATAAAGTAGCCCATCATTATGTGAGTTCAGAGTCTTAGGACCTAACATTGCAATAGTCCCAGGGTTGTAAATCTGGCATTATCTGCACTGTATCGCATATATTTGCTATACTATATACAGACCACACATATACTAAATATAGGATGCCCAAAGCATCAGAAAGCTTCCAGAAACGCTGTGGCCATTTCTCCAAACTCCAGTGAACCACTTGTGTTATGGCATGCACTATGTAATGTTAACTGCAGTTTTATGAGAAGCTTGCCACCTCTCCTCGTAACAAAACTTTCTTTTTCTGAAAGAAGATTAGAACTTGGAAAACAATGGAAAATGTTTAATTTCATTTCTTTTACCATACTGATTTATTACCAGGCTTAGATTCTACAGTTTCGTAAAAACCAAGTTAAGATCTCCAATTTCATAGTGGAAAACAACTCCCATTCTATCTGGTAGCATGTAGTTTTTATTTTAAATGAGACTGGACTATCCAAAACAGCTCATCCACTGTGTCATAAAACTTCCTAATAAATGTCACCGTCTATAAAATGTTGATTAGTCATACAGCATTCTGTAATAAAATCCTATAAACCCCACAAAACCGCACCCTGCTGATTTACACTGTATTTACAGAAAAAAAGAGCCCAAATATACAATTCCATGCTTTATTGTTGCATTATTGCCACACTGACAATTACAGAAAATTTCTTTTGCAATCATTTTGAGGTAACATTTGAACATTTCCTATGTTTGTATGTTATTGTAACATATTTTAAAAGTATCGTTAACCATCAGTAGGCAATCCAGATCACCAGTTATGATTATTTTAGGCAAGGTAATGCTTTGGTAAGGACACCTATGTATAAACACGGATACCTCCCAACAATATATATAATACGCTTTCATACAGAGACGTTTTCTAACCATATTGGAATTCCTGCACTCTAAAAGCCACTAAAGCTATCTTGAGATTAATACTCTGTTGTACAAACTTATACATCCATCTAAGTAATCAAAGACAAAATTCAGGTATTTTCTATGTATGTTGTATATATTGCGTTCGCAACCAGGAGCAGTAGTTTGTAATTCAAAAGCATCCATGTTCCTAACTTTTAGTATTGAATGGAAATGTGGTGTTGCTCGCAGAAACACTTCTACCAGCTATTACTGGACACAGACCAGATGTACCCAGTCCCACTTAACTGTATGCTTCTATACTGAGGTACGTTTAGTTTTCCACTGCTGTCAGTGGAGTCGAGGGTGATGCAAGTCATCTTGAAAGACACTTCCATTTGGTCAAAAATGCCATACCTAAACTCTGTTGACTATCTTGACTATATCACCATTGACTACAGCTGGAGTTTAGACACTACTTCAGATGGAATCCCACCCAGCTCACTTTCAAGCCAGCAGCTACCAGTACCAAGTGACTGTGATGATCTCCTTCACTGCTGACGCAGCACACTGACAGCTGCTGGCTGCACCATCAACCAGATGCCACCGCTTTCTGTCCTGAATCTGCAAGTGTTCCTGCCAGCACATTACCTCATGCAGATATTCTACAAGGCTCCACAATGCTACCCTTATGAATGAGTTACAGTGTGAATCAATTGTACACTCATGAGCGGCTACAAACAAGGCCTCAGACGTACCAACGTCAGAAACAGAAAGCGTATTTTTTAAATTATGCATATTCTAATACAGAATAATTCTTATAAACAATGCTTGTTCCTTAAGGCAAGTACGGTTATCTAATTCAACTGAAAATAAAGACTGCATATACAGATTGTACACCCTTCCTCAGTTGTAGAATAAATATATCCATGCACATCCTTTGCATCATTTCCATTTCAAGCCCATGAAGAGATGGAAATGCCAGGTCCCTCTCACCCACATGAAGTGAGTTATTCCACTTGTGAAATGGGCCACATTTCACATTTTTTGTTGTTTTAAACCAGCTACTCAGGGAATAACTATTTAATCTGCAAAAATTTTTAAAAATAGTCTTTTAAAAACTCTTCCCCACTGGTTTTCTAGACATTTGATTTTAAACATAAAATGAAGTAGTAAAGCTCCAAGCAATGCCAAACTTTCACTGGTTTGCCAGGTGAATGTTTGCAGCACTAGGTCCAGTACCCGCTTTTTTGACATTAGTAAAAGTTTTATAAACCTAGAGGGTACTAAAGGCTGTACTGTATTTATAGCCAGTTAAAAACAGAAGTACACTTTAAATGTGTAGGTGGAATGTTAAAAAAATTATTTTCCTGGGTTTTACAGCAATGAGTTGCAGAAGGAAGATGATAGAGCTAAGTGATTTTGAACTGTGCAATCAAAAATTTATATATGGCCAATTGCTCTATCCGAAAAGTAACTTTTATATTCCCTTATATTACTGCTGTCCTTATTCACAATAAGAAAACTAGGAAAAATATGATGCGCAAGAGAGACCGGGTCACAAAGTTAAACACATTTACTAATGTTATCTACTAATTTCAATTGGTATCTCAAACCATAAGTTAAAAAAGAAAACATATTTTTTGCCAGTTTATTTTAACTTGAATTCTGGAGGGTCCCGAGCTCCTTCAGCTTGTTATTGGAATTGAGGAATCATCACCTCATAAAAATAGAGCCCCCAGAGAGACCCGCAAGACCACAAATCAGTTGCCTACAGCAGCAATGTTATTGTACCTCTCATTTCTCTCCCCTCTCCATACCCACAGACCTCCAAAGGGAAGAACCTTAGCAAGACTGGGTGAGTTCAAAGGGTGTAAAGAAGATTCAGCTGGATTTCTGCCCACTTGAGACTGGTTTTGGGCCCTTTTGGCATCTCACTAGTGGAATTCAGAGAGCACAGTCACCGGGGTGTAACACCACAGGATACTAAAGACTGCAATGGTTCTATGTAATCAAGACAACCACTGACTTCTATCAACACACACAACAAACTCCCTCCAGATAGTAAAGGTACCAGTTCAAAAGGGTTATTCTCCCTTACAGGCTTAGCATAAAAACTACATTAACTATCTGCTATTGCAATGCCACAACTAAAAATACAAGTTTTAAGCTCACTAATCCTTTTATCATACCAAAGTTTTATCTTGGCAGTAAGAAAATTTTATAAAAACCCCATCCCTGATCATCAAATATTTAATAGAGAATTTTCCACCTGGGATAACTGAACAATGTCTTCATTCTTATTCACCATTGGGAATTAAAGTAAAAGAAACAGCATATTTTAGAGGTCAATTTTACTGATTTGACAGTGTGAATCCTAAAGGGTTTTCATCTTCTTTGAAAAACTTATTCACTGATGGCAGTTTGGCTGAGATTTTGATAGAGAGCTCACTTGCGAGGCTGGTGGATGTGCTGTTTGACATGTTGTGGGTGAGGAAGCTTTTCCACAGAAGGATGTGGTTTCTGATGAGCCACCTGAGCCGCAGCTGGAGGGAAGTCCTTATCACCCTGTTCAGAGAACACACCAGGAAAAATTTAAGAAATGTTAAAAGTGTACCTTCCAGTTCAAGTGGATATAAGTGTTAAACATGTGAAAAGCAGATGGAAAACAGTGTTGCACGTTACTCTGGAATCCCCCTGTACACATGCTATCTTGACATTCTAAGTTTCACTTCTTCCAATTTTACACATCATCCAAGAACACAGTATCTTAAAGTGACCTAAGGAAAAAAAATCCAACATTCCTCTCTTCAGTACTTGACAGCTCCTTGTACTAAGTCATTTTCACTGGCCCTGTATGGTCAGATCCCATTGACCTGTTTACATTTTCACAAAGCAACCAGAAAAAGACTATTTTACAAATAAGGTAAGGTGTGAAAAACTACCTGCACAAGAAAACCTACTGTAGAAATGCCAGTTCTGTATTAAGAAAGGCAAGATATAAACCTGCTTTTGAGTCACATCTTAGAGGTGGCTGGCTTTTAAGTTTAACATGCTCTTTTTTAACCAGGTCTGCTAGTGTTAGTTCTCACACGCTGCTGTTGGGCAGGCTCAGTTCAGGTGTAACCCTTATGCCACCTACTTACAACTGTCATTTCTAGGGTCAGACCCATGAGGTTTCCAAAAAGCAATGGGAAACAACTATGACCAGTGCTCAGTGACAGGAGGAGAACAGCAGCACCACAACTTCCCTCTTTATAAATGGGAACAAATACATCACAAGCCAGAAACGCTCTGCATTCCACCGGGTTACAGGGTTACAACCTCACACAGACCTATTTTGTACAAAGCTGAGGTCTCAGATGGCCTGTTTCACCCCAACCTCATTTCAATCTACTCCAGATTCTTCCTTTCTGTTCTGATATAACTTTTTATATTGATCACTAGGTTAACTTTTTACATTTTTCACTTTTTTCTCTATTCCAAGTTACTTTCAATTTCCAAAGATCTCTTCTCAGACTTTTTATTTTCTGCCTTCTTTCCCACTGATGCTGCTGTTTGCCTTTTCCATAACACTCTGACCACTCAGACCTTGTTGTCTCAAATGGGTGACGTGAATGCAGCTCTTCTATGACTTGAGGGTACTGTAATTGTTGAGCAGATGACCGAGTCAGTCTCTAAATGGTAACAGGAAATGTCTATCTTAGAATCAAAGTACTGTAGAATAATTCAGGTTGGAAGGGACCTCAGGATGTCTCTAGCCCAACCTCCTGCTCAAAGCAGAGCCAGCTGTAAGATCAGACCAACTTACTCAATGTTTTAATCCAGTCTGATCTTGAAAACCTTTAAGGACAGAGACTGAATAGCCACTTCAGGCAACGTTCTCCACTGCCTGAATGTTCTCACAGTGAAAAAGTTTTAATATTTATGTCTAGTCAGGCCCTTCCATTTCAATTTGTGTCTGTTGTCTCATCTGCCTGCCATGCACCACTAAACAGCCTGACTCCATCTTCTCGATAACTTCCTTGTAGATGTGGGAAGGTTGCTGTTAAGTCCTCCTGAAACCACCTCTTCTCCATGCTAAACAAGGCCTGTTCCCTCAGCTGCTTCTCCCAGGATGTGTGCTCCAGCCCCCTGACTACCTTGGTGGCCCTCCAGCAAACTCACTCTGGTTTATCAACACCTTTCATACACTGAGATGTTCAAAACCAGATGTGGTCTAAAGCATGCTGAGCAGAGGGGGATAATCCCTTCCTTCGATCTAATGGCTACTGTTAAGACAGCTCAGGATGCTTTCTTGCTGGTACGTGGCTGTCTCACGACCAGTTGCTGCCTGACATTCTTCCAGCTTGTCCAGATCCCTCCAAGTAGTAGCCCTTCCCTCAAACTTAGTAACTGTTCCTCACAATTTGATGCCAGCCACAAACTTGATGAGGAGCCTTCTGTCTGATAAAGACATTAAACAGGACAGGTCGCAGTATATAAAACCTCCACTTGACACAGATGAGAACTATTACATACCAGGAAGCTTGAAACCATAATTGAAAAATTACTCTAGTTTAAAAAAAACATTGCTAGGTTTTGTTTATTACATAGATAAGAAATTTCGATACGTTTGGGAGCTATAAAGTCTCAGAAAATGATAGAAAAAGTTTGCTCTGCCATAGGTTAATAAATAAACCTGTAGCTGACCGCTTACTGAGCATAAGTATAGTATCCTATCAAGTAATTGATTAACTAGAGATCAGTTACAAAATTAAGAAAACGGGCTTTTCTGTTTTGAATCTTTTGCATGCCTACTCAACTGGGCGCCTGTGATAAAATTTTTCTTCATAAAGAAAAAAAATCACCTGTTACAGTGCTATCAAAATTACTAAACTTTAACGCAATAAGTAGTTAGAAGTAATTAGGCATCTAGATGCCTAAATAGATATCCACCTTGGTGCAGATGGAGGTCCAGGAAATCCAGCAGTGCCTGTCTACTACCCTTACAGGCTAGGGAAAATGGCATCAGCTTGCTCTTTCCACCTACGTGATGTGACACAACCATCTTAGAGTAAACGACATTACATACCCCACTGATGTAAGACCATCATAATAAGGTTATCCATTATGTAAAGCCATGATAAAAACCCTGTCACAACACACAACGCATGAATTACTGATCATATGATTAACAGCGAGTTAATACTAATGGTTTAGCTTATAGATTTCCAGGTCCCACCTGCTGTTAAAATCCAGGGAATAATGCCTTGAATCCCAGGTACCTCAAGGCACATATGGCAACTGAAGCATGTATCTTTAAACACGTATCCTTATAGGCAGGAGTGTCACTCCTCATCACAGACCAAGCTATAGCAGCAGACTTAACATGCAACCACTTTCAAAGGAAATGAATGTAGTAATATCTAGCTTAGATTAAAAAAAACCCAATAAACTTAAAGTGCTAAAATTCAAAGAAAAACAGTGGAAGTAATTTCAATAAATAATTTCAATTTCACACAAAACCAAAAAGAATGCTCAAAGGGACTTACACAAATAAGCAAAACATAAAGCCTCTTATCATAAAAGAGGAATGAAAAAGATTAATTTTCCTCTGATCAGTGATAATTCTGAAAAGCCTACAATAATTTTTCTATGAATCAAAAAAATTTAATGACAATCTTACCCTAGCAATGACACCAGAGATGAACACCGTTGGTTTAGGTGGGCTGAAAAAAAATAAGAAGGATTATTTGTACAAATTATTTAGAAGGTAAAAATAAAAAGTACATCACATATAGCGCCAAAAGTGCCATTTTTGGCAATTAATGAATGTTTCAAATTGACAAGACAAATTTCCTCTGCAAATGACTACTGCCTTACCCATACTTACTACAGACAAGACCAGACCTGTAGGTTTTGGTCGCTATTACTTCACACAAAGTGTGCAGCAGTAAAAGGCTAGTCTAACAGTGCTCTGTTCCTTACTTAAAGCTGAGAGTCTTTGTGCACATTGGTTTCTTAATCCTCAAATTTTACATGTAAGCTGCCAGCAGTACTTTAGGCTTAGTATATTTGTACTACAACAATGAAAACTGTAGCTGGACTAAACTTACTGCTGTGATGGAGAATAAAACAAAATTCAAGTTTGTATCTGTCAATCAAATGGATTAAGATTCTCAGTCTCAGAAAAAACAACACCAAGTACTTTAAATCACAGATTTTCAAGCATATATTTATCTACTCTATTACACAGAAGGAGAATCATATCTGCAATATCTGCAGCCACATCTAACAATTCGCCCCTGGTGGGGGGCACTTCAGTGGTCTCCGGGGCAAGTAAACATACATCTGCCTGGAATCTGCAGAAGGATCAAGACCAGGAGCTCCAGAAAGTCTCCACAATAGAGGTAATACTTCTGTAAGAAAACCATGTAACCTGAGGCACTGCAAAGGTAAGGGGAACGCACAAGTAAAGCTGTGCCTCCCTCTGAGCATGTCCACAACCGAGGACTCAGAGCAGGTGGTTCATTAACTTGGACCATGAGAAAGGTCCTCACTCTGTGATGTTATGGCTGATGAGGTTGGAACAACATAAAGCAAACACAAATCAAATTATTTATTAGCGGAATGAGACTGATTCTTATGATGCGCTTTACAACTACACAGCTTGTAAAGATTTATTAATATGATCTTATATGAAGTTAAGGTAACAAGCAGCACCGTATTAGACCTTGATATAATGGTCTAATAAACACTGCCTGAGCACTGTTTAAGTCACAGCATTGCTACAGAGTCTCTGAACACCCCTGTTATTTAACAACACTCATCATCCCTTCTAAACATTTTTTGAAAGACAGCATTAGAAAAAGGGAAAAGGAAGTTCTGCTCTAAAATACCACCATGTAAGAGTACCAGTGATATTTCCTGCAATGAGAAAGATTATTTTGATAGCTGTATTAGACTCCTTCAATCTGATTTTCTGTTAGTATAAACTAATAACAAGCAAAGATCAATAGCAACACACTTTCATTTTATCCTAATTGTACTGAGCCAATCAGTACATTACTGTCTGCATGAGATTTCCTGGATGCTGAGTAACAAACTCAAATAACTCTGAGAAAACACAGATGTACTGCGGTGGCTTAAGGTATCATTTATAAACTCGCACCATGATATTATAGAAGAAATGAACAGTAAATGGAAAAAAAAAAATGTGTGGCAAGTTATTCTTCAACTATACATGGAATCTGGCTTTAGTCACACTCAGAGGAAGTCACTTGTTTGACACTGCATTAGTAACAATACTGGATAGTGAGAAATTAAAATCAGATGGATTTTTTTCTTACATTCTTACCATGACCTTTCAGTGTTCACTATGCTTGGATGATGCATGAAATTCAAATCAACATTTCCCAAAAAGAGCCTATATTTGCTAAACATGCTACGGCTCGTCTGCCCACCACCACGCCGTATGACCCGCTGTGTTTCATACTTCTTGCTTTAACAACAAGTGACATGCCTCATGGTTTTGGCCAAAAATGACTACTAGAAGGAATGTATTGCATAATGGTTGTTTCAAACACAGCCTTTCTCACTGCAAATTGCAAAAATCTTCTCACAAACCCTGATCTCCTGTTCGAAATGTCACGCTATTAATATTCAAAAGACCCAAGCTTGCAAGTGCCAAGTTCCCTGGTACACAATACAGCTGAACAGTTAGAATATTTGGTACATTTCCATACTTATTATTTTTACTTGGTTGTATGTTCCTTTGTCTAAGGAACTAGACTGAAAATCCTATAAAGACCATTTTCATATTCAGTTAAGCTAATCCCAGTCCGAGGTATACATTTCAAGTAGTACCACAGAAGTAGCTAACATATCTTTATAAAGACAGCAAAAATCAGCAATACCATTTCCCTGGTAAAAACTATATCCTTCAGATTTAAAGCATTTATCTTGAACTCTACCATGAAAAAAACATATTTACCCTTGTTTGTATGCAATTGGTTCTGTGACAGTCTTTAGTTGCAGGATATTAGGAACAGGACACTAATTAGGACCATCCCACGGGTGTGTGGTAGGCACCAAAACACATCACCATAACACACCTAGGGTTCATGTGGAACATTTTAGGATAGCACAGGGCAACTCACCAACACACAGAAAGCAACCTAATGGGAAATCAGAGTTCAAAAAATGTATCTACACCCAGATGCAGTGGGAACAGATTTGTCCTTAACTTTCACCCTTGTTTGTTTTTTCCATGGATTTTTGACTGGACTTTCGTGATCTCTGCTAGATTTCCAACTTTTAAATGGAGAACTAATGGGAACGCTGACCTGGCTTCCTTCTCAAGCACCTCTATCCCCCACTCACAACGATCTTTTACAGAAACTCCAGCATTCCTTTCTGGCTAACCTGAGGTCCCACACTCAGCTGCAGGCATATGCTGTAATGAGGCTTCACCTCTCAACTGATCACAAAGACAAAATGCTTTGCTCCTATGGAAGATATATCAGCCTATTAGAAAGCTCATTTTCATACATTACTTATTCCTTAGTAGGGGAAAAGACAGAAAACTGGCCAGAAACGAGAATGGTTAAGTGTGTATGTAATTTATGTTCTATGTTAAAGCCACTGGCTTTTCCCCCCATTTTTACCAGATTACATTGTCCCAGAAAAGATCTTTAAAAATTTAATATTATCACTTATCTTTGATGATCTATAGAACCAGAATCAGGCCAGACACTATATAATCACACATCTATACTAATGAAGAATTCAACGGATCAGAGAAAGGCCTGAAAAATCAGTCCCTGATTCACACTTTAATTTCATTCTTAATGAGAGAAATCTTTCTACAGATGAACTTCTTCACAATAAATTCAATCTCTACTGCCAGACTGTCAAACCATTGTTTTTTGTGGACCCATATTAGCTGCCTGGACCATAATTTTCTAACTGCACTCTGGGACATCTACTGGGAGTGCAGTGTTGCAACATCACTCATCATCTTTCCCAAGGACCTACTGAAAATAGAAACAAAAATGGAGAATGTGCACAGGCTATCATCGCTACATTTGTAAAACACTTTCAAATGCTTTAAATTCTATTGGTGTTTTATGCAAAGCACAACCTACATTTCCAGTATTTTGTAAGCTGTGATGGCTGCTTTGAGGATATACTTAATCTGACGAAAATCAGTTTGACAGATGTTGTTTTGAAGATGCAGCATTCCTTTGTCTAGGCGCCAGTAAACAAGAAAGCAAAAAAATATTACTTTCTGACAAAAACTGATTTTGTTTATACATATATGTGCTTTGCAGCTATTTAATGCACACATTTTTTTAAAATTAAATAATAGCTACAGCTCATATTGTGTAGGGAGAACGATGGCATGTTTGCCAAGACTGCTTAGTGTGTGTGTCAATACTTTCAGAGCAAAACGTTATTTTATTCTAACATATGGAGGAAAAGAACACATCTGTTAAGGTCTGAGTGTTCAAAGAACTTACCCTAATTTTACATGTGCGATGCTGCTAAGAACTGCACCTGTTTAACATCAGACTCTCTACTGGATTAATTTACCTTGATTGTATTCAAATAAAATAAAGATTTCTATTATTTCATAATACTTAGCTTAAATAAGATCTTTACCTGACACTGCAAGTAAATCACAAAGAAGATGGAATACTTGAAAAGATTGCTAACTAGATGAAATGAGGCATTAATAATACTAAAGTCTTATGCCTTCACCTTGCAGGGACTGGTGGAACTGAAGTCTGACAGGCATACTGTAAAGACAGACACAGTGACATTGGAATTACTGTGAAATCTCCTACAAGTCACAGAACATACATAGGGCAGATGAGCATTTATCCAACTCCATTTAAAATTGAGAAACTGAATAAATTAGTTTTCTAAGTTAACAGGGAATTTTATAATTATTAACTATATCTACCTAGATATGCCATGGTATGCGCACAAACACATGCAGAGGCTATGCATATATATACACACACACAGATATATAAATTACACAGATTCACAGCTGTTTAAGAGTGGTCCCAAATGTAGGAAAGTGCACAACACGTTCCCACATCCATGTGGGGAAGGAATGCCTGCAGCCTTCTCCTGTTTGCAGCATCTGAATTGCCTCCCGCACCATTACATGGCGGGATGGATCTGAATCTGATGCCATTTTCAAGTGGCAGGTTGAATGGCAGATCCAGCCTGGAAAAAGGACTATAAGCATCGCTCACAGTGTGGTCCAAAACAAAAGCCTACTTTTACAGTTGACAAACCAGGAAACAGAACAATACATATGTATCATTCCTTTCCACATGAAATAGAAAAGCTCCTGAAATGGGAAATGGGTCTTGCTGCGGCCAGTCAGTGAAGAAGGCTAGTGCTTCATGTTCACTGATGATAGAAAAAAAAAAAACAAAACACCACAAAACCCAAAACAAAAAAAAACACCCCAACATGCTAAGACAAATAAAAAATGAGAAAAAAATAGTGCCTCACAGTATACCTCATTTAAAATACTGTATTCAGTCCAGGAACACCATAAGTAAAGAATTAGAGCAGAAATAAAGATGGAAAAAATAGCTGAGAGAGCATGGAGAAACTTCTATATGAGGAAAGAGCTAAGAACTATTTGCATACAGTACACATAAGAGTGGAGAATATTATTCCCATTTACCTTCTTTATAGTATAAGT